CATGCTTACAATTGGATTATAAGCTCAATGGGAAAGGACTTTTGCTAATATTGTTTGGTACATTGATGATATTATTGTTGCCTTTTAAGAGTAGCCACAAATTGTGAGATAAGGGGCATATGAATTTGATAAATAACATTGCGCATAATGTAGCTTGGAAGAACTCTGTCAATCTCTACAGTTTATTTTAGCAAAATGTATGTGTGGCAAGAATCTGAGTAAAAAACTGAAGCAGTTTGATGATTAAAGTATCAGGCTAGATGGGGGATTTTGGACTAGTCTTCTCAGTCCAATTTACCTCATAGGGATGTTATTGCTGAGTAAATAGGAGCAAGAGGGTAAGTTTATCACTTTGAGTTATTTATAAAAAAAACAATAAAGGCCAGGTTTTAAAAAACTAAAAATTAAAATGTTGCTGTTTTTCCTAGCATGTCTCAATTGAATGTTTGGTTTGCACTACAATTGTTTCACTTCACATAGCAAAGCTTTCGGTATCTGATGTAACAAGGAGTTCTAACTCTTCTATAGGTTGTTGTAGAACCTGATGTTAATATGGGCTGAGAGAGCATGACTGACGCAAGATTAGCCAGCTGGCTTCTATGCCTCTCCAAGGGATTGATTCTGGGTTCTCTTATTTTGGTACATCATCTTTAACCACTATACCAGGGCTGTCAAACTCGTATCACATGCTAGCCATGCTCATGACCAGTTTAGCGAAGGGGGAAAAAGTCACAATACATCATGTGACAACACGAGCTTGACACCCCTGCACTATACAGTACTAGCATTCTTCAGTAAGAAATAAACTCAAATTTCTAACGTGTCTCAGAAAAGGACCCATTATTTTTATAACACTAACAAGTTGATAATCCATAACAGAAGCTGAACAAAATTCAGCACTCAAAGTTTAAATAACCCTTCTCAAATTTCTTTACAATTAGATTCTCCTTCAAACATACAGGTTTTAAAAACACTGGTCAAATTGAAAGAATGAATGCAGGTAGAGGTTAACTTTTTCCTTCTCTCGTTGCAAATGCTGAAACTTGACTTGTTGCAGTAGAAACCCCATTCGCTTATGCCAATGGTCTTATTCTTCTAAACACAAGTATCAGCTTTAGAGTAGGGATTCATTTCAGCATTATTGCAGGAAAGAATTATATCTGTCTCCTCATCTGCTATGATCTCATTTATTATCAGTTCTTTAAACTATCCTAATAATATTGGCATTATTTTAAACACATGCAGGTTTAAACTCATTTCGGATTATATCTACTTCAGTCCTAAGAATAACATAAGAATACAATATAATTGCTTCACTTTAGGGCTAAGATATAAGAAACAAAAGTTTCCCTAGATGTATAGGCAAAAAGTGCTGCATTATTGGATCCAACAACTGAACTTCCAAGTAAATGGCCAGATAGATATCCCAGTCATCTTAAAACACTATCTTCAGTGATAGAAACAAAGAGCATTAGCATTCTTCTATTCATTCTGGTTTATATGAACATGTATTTTAATGCACTTAGAAAAGTTTAATTAGTAAACAAAGCTTCTAAAGAGATCCATTTTGATATAATGATTACAGATACCTGGCTAGAAACCAGGATATCGAGAATTCTAGCCCTGCTTTCGGCAAAGCTGACTTAGTTACTTAGGGTTAGTCACTTTCTTCTAGCCCTAGGAAGGCAGCAATGGCAAACCACTTCTGAAAATGTCCCAAGAAAGCCACATGGACTTCTTCAGGCAATTGACAAGAGTGCAAACTGACTTGAAGGCACTAAAAAAGAAAAAAAATATTCATTCTCTGAGTTTTATAGCTCTGCCAAGTAAGCAGATGAATGGATGAGGAAATTTAACAGGGAGTCCAATGATATTAAGAGTTATATTACTACAGGTAGTCCTCACTTAGCAGCTCTCTCAGTGACTGTTTGCAATTACAATGATGGAAAAATAATTTTGCAACCAATGTTCACATTTACCATTTTCACAGCATCTCTTTTTCTCATTCACATTATGGTCAATTAGTATATCTCGTCCTGTATAAAATCATAAGCATTTGCAATCACATGGTTTTTCACTTAGCAACCACTTTTCTCAATGACTGAGCTATTAGACCTAATTGCAGGCACTAAGTGAGGACAACCTGTAGAAACAATTTGATTTTCATGGTATAAGGAAAAATACCATCAGATTTCTATCTGATTGATGGCAATGCAGTTTAGAACAAAGGCAATGTAGCTGAATGAACATTAAATTGTGTAAGCATCACCACACCATTCTGAACATATTCAGGAATGGTCAAAATGCAATACACAGTAAGAGACACAGTTCTTGAAAGCACTAGTGCTGGATTTTATTGCACATGATTGCAGATCTTTTAACCTGAAAGACATTTAAAGACTGAAGCTGCAGATGAGACAGGGACATTTTCTTAGAGAATTTTCTTAGGAACTGGGTGCCTTAGTTGTTGGTCTCCCTTGTGCCAGTTAAGCTCTGAATATCTCAATTAGAATTTGGCAAGAGGAAAAAGAAAAAAATGACAATCCTAGGATTTGTAAGAAATGCTATGTGCCATTTTTCTATGTTTGATTCTACTTTTAAAAAATCCTATTCCACCTTTTAATATTATTGTACAGAAGTATGTATTATCTATAAATGTACTGAAATAGCTAAAAATAATGTACAATTACACAGCAGACAATGCATGGAGGGACAAATTTAGAAAGTGGGCCAAATAATTGCTTAGAAAACTCTTGATCAAATTGCTTTGTACTGTTTTTCTTAAAAATAAATTGCATTGGATTACAATCTTAAACTACCTGCTTGTATATTAAAATGTACAGAACTTATTCTATTCTGAGCATTCTCTCTGGAACATCTTTTGTGATAAAAATATAAAATGTAACAACGAAGTATCTTGGAAGCAATGACCAAGAAAGAAGAGACCAAAATTGGAATGAAGCGATGTTATTTTATTAATCAGGTTCATTTGGAGCACAGGAAACAAAAATGTTTGTTTTTGTCACAAGCACCACGTACGGATAATAAAACCTCTGCAAGAAAACAATCAAACTTAGAGAGCATCAAGGACGCCTCATTTCAACTCTGAGCTACAAATATTCTTCTTTATTGGTACAAAAATGTTTTTCTGGACTTGGCATCTGAAAAAAAAATAATGACCAAGCTCTGTGTATTTCTCCAATAAAAATATTCATATCCTTGGGATATTAATGAGAAACAGTTCTTGAACCAAACTAACTACATTAATTTTGTAATGAAGCAATCAGGAACTGTGATTTTCCATTATTTTACAGAATGGAATGAAGGTTTCTCCAATAACTAGTCTTCTTCCATTAAAATATTCAGATTTAGGATGCTGCATTAAGAGACAATCTTGTACCAGGGAATTACACTAGAACAGGCCAGAGCTACAATGTTTAGCTGGAGAGAATTAAATTTGGAGAGAACAGTACATGGCTCACAGTATTCTTGACTGGGTGGTAGAGAAAAGTTATTTTCCTACAGCTGCAAGTCTTTTAACATAGCAGAGGGGAAACAGGAATTTTAAAGACACAGAAATATTATTTTTCTATAAGAAAAATTAATGATTTAGATTTGAAGAAAAAAATACTCCTTTCAGGAAAATATTTCTTAGAGATAAAAATGCTGAGGGAAAAAGGAAGAAACCTGGAAAAGAAGAAAGGAAATACATTTGGTGTATATGATACAGAACAACTGTCAGTGAAAATCATCTTGTATTTTGAAAGATTCTCAGTTGGAAATGGGAATTGTCTCCAAGTTGCTGCCCTACAAACACACTGGATTAGAACTGTTTTGAGTCATTATGATCTTCAGTCATCAGAAATCATATTGGCTGGGGTGTACAATCAATAAATTGTAGGAGACCAAGATGAAGCACCAAAAACTTTAAGTTCCTCTGAATAGTTAAGGGAAAAGGCAGCATAAAAATATTTGAAATTAAAAAAATAAGTTTGCAGGAATCAAAGCCAGTAATTATTACCACAGAAATATGATAGTAATATTTTAGAATCCTGAGAGAGCACAGAATAAGTGGCATGGATTGGGACATTAAGCAAGACAGTTGATAAAGAGGAAAAGGAAGAAAAAAAAAATCAAGTTAACCAGACGAGATGGGGAAGAGGAACAAGGATCAATGTCAACGAGTTGCTTCTCAAGAATTTCTTATGAAAGAGAGGTCTGGTCCTTAATTAAAGCTCATATTGCTTTACTTTTGCCTAACAATAGCTGAAGAAATAATTAAGGCAGAGATTTTAGTTCAGCAAAGTAGAGGACATGCTACCCTTTCCCCTGCTACTTTAATTACGTGCCAATGGTGACAGTCAGAAAGTTATTTGAACCGAGCGTCCCACCCCACACTAAGGGTTGGGAGATCACCTGCTCAGATGTTGCCTATCTTAGTTAACAGATAACAGATAATCAGAGTTGGAAGGGACCTTGTAGGTCATCTAGTCCAACCCCCCCCAAAGCGGGAGACCCTACACCATTTCTGACAAATGGCAGTCCAATCTCTTCTTGAAAGTCTCAAGTGATGGCACTCCCACAACTTCCGAGGACAAGCTGTTCCATCGGTTGATTGTTCTCACTGTCACAAAGTTTCTCCTTATTTTCAGGTTGAATCTCTCCTTGTTCAGTTTCCATCCATTATTCCTTGTCTGGCCTTCAGGGGCTTTAGAAAATAGCTTGACCCCTTCCTCCCCGTGGCAGCCCCTCAAACATTGGAAGACCTCTATCATGTCTCCCCTGGTCCTTTTCTTTACTAGATTACTACCGTACTAATTAAAAGACAAAGTTGGAAAGACTGGGGCCCCAGCTTGGTCGGTGGAGTAGCTCGGTGGTTACTCCGCAGGGGAGAGACACTGAGTCCGGGATTGGACCACGGAAGGCACGAAGGGAAAGAAGCTGGGGGTGGGGGGCGAGTCAGAGTCATAGCCTAGAAAGGATGGCGGGCAAGGCGTTACCTTGGGGGGCAGGCTGAAGAGGATGGGCAGCAGCACCAGCGGAGCGCACAGAAGCACCAAATAGCGGCGGATACACCACACTTTCTTCACTACGGCTCCCAGCGCTGCCATACCCTGACAAAGACCCCACAGGACCGGCTTAAAGGAGACCGGCCGCAGAGCCGGGACAGAGGTTTTATCTCAAAGGAGGGGGAGGAGGAAGAGGAGGGAGAGGAAAGGTTTTCCCGGGGGAGGAGGGGGCATTAGCGGGCCGGACCGGAGCAGGGAGGTGTTCCAACCGATTCCTGCTCCGTCCCAGCCCTCGGACCCCACAAGACGAGCCTCCAAAATGTCGTTGGCTCCGCCTGAGGGCCAGCCCTCTCACGCCGTCTCTTACTCGCCTGAGACGAGGAATCGAGAGGGCGGATCGGCGCCGCAACAGTCCCTGCTGAGGCGACGCTCGGCTCTTTTTTAAAAGGGTGCTTCGTGGGAAGGCGGCGAGAAAAGTGGCAGCGTGGTTCGGAAGTGCAGCGGGGTGATACCTCAGCCCTGCTCCACCCAACCCTGGCAGATCTCGTCTTCTGCCCAACGTCTGCCCAACGAATGGCTGTCGTTTTCGAGCAGGGATTAAATATTTAAGTCGTCCTCTACTTCAAACAGTTCGTTAGTGACTGTTCAAAGTTACAACGGAACTGAAAAATGTGGTTTATGACCATTTTTCACACTTAGGATCTTGGTGACATCCCCATGATCATGTGATCAAACTTCAGATGCTTGGCAACTGGTTCATACTTATGACCGTTGCTGTGTCATGTGATCACATTTTGTGATCTTCTGACAAGCAAAATCAATAGGGAAGCCAGATTCACTTAATAACCAAGTTACTAACTTATCGACTGCAGTCATTCACTTAACAAGAAGAGTCATAAAACGGGGCAAAACTCAGTTAAATGTCTCACTTAACAACAAGTTTTGGGCTCAAATGGTCATAAGTCAAAGACTACCTGTACTTGAGTCCGTCTTTGCCCTTCTTCCATATTTCTCTAGTTCTGTTCATTCCATTTTTGTGGAATTCACTACTGGGTACTTTATCAAATTTATAGGCTGCCTATCTTACCTTATTTGGCTGGCTTACAATCATGAGAAATAACTATATAAACTACAAACATAAATACATTAGTTTAAAATGCAGAACTTCATGGCTCAATTAAAAAGGGGGGAGCAGGATGGGGAGAGGTGGGAGCTATTGTTGATTGATCAGAAGGCCACTACAGTTTCCTGGGTCTGTTAGGTGACACTTTCATAGAGGAGACTTGAAGCATGTCCACCCTGGCCCAGATCTCACAGGACAGGCAAAAATTTAAAAAAAAAGCAGTCTGTCAAATAATTGAGCCCTATTCCATGAATAGTTTTAAAAGCAGTAACTTAAGTCTTTGAATTGCACCTGGAATATTGTAGGAAGCTAACACAATTTGTGGAGCAGCAGTGTTTATATAGATGTGCTATTGTGAAGCCATATTTTCTGCACTGCCATATTATGGACCAGTTGCAAATGTCTACATGTTCTTTTAGGGCAATCCCATGGACAGTGCACTTCAATAATTCAAACAGGAGATGAATGGATGATAGCAGGGTTTCCTAACCTAGGAACAAGAATAATTCTTACACAAGATAGATTTACATCTTGACATGGTACTGTTTGCTCTTCCAACAAGAGCCAAGAGTCCCAAAGGGACCCCCAAATTGGACAATAATTCTGAATTCAAAACTAAAGATTAAATGTCCCCAGAATCAGGACACCCCAAGCCAATGCCAGTCAATCTAGAAATTATGGGGCCTGATGTCCAACATAACTGGAAGAGTGAGGCAAGCCCATGCAGAATCATCAAATTCCAAAGTGACAATATAGATTGGTATCTTTTGTCTGTGTTTTGTCTGTTTGATAAAAATAAACCTAATCATTTATGTATTGATTTTTGTCAGATTTCTAGACCAAAGCAACTCTGATCAGCTTCATGAGATTAAAAGAAACAGTAATATCTGAAAGGATAAATTAAAAAAAAACATGTTTCAGAGTTTCGGTCATTGTTTTTTTTTGCCTACCATTTAAAATATGCTATATATCATCTAGAGTCATTGCATTGATTGAGGCAGCTCATAAGTTGAACAAATAAATAAGTAAATGCTTACAGTACATTCAGAACCAAATATATATACGGGAAAGGTTGAATTTGTAATCATATAACAAAATTTAAATTGCAGCATTATAATTTAAATCAAGCATCACAATCATCAATGCAAATGGAAAGGAAGATACAAAATCCTACATGTGATGGAATAGTTAGAATACACATTCTCTTCTGTCCCAAAAATACCAATAGGAATAGCACTTAGACTTACATACAGCTTCATAATGCTTTATAGCCCTCTAAGCAGTTTACAGAGTTAGAATATTGCCCCCAACAATTTGGTTCCTCATTTTACTGATGTCAGAAGGATGGAAGTCTGACCCAACCTTGAGCTGTTCAGGATCAAACTCCTGACAGCGAGCAGTGAGTTGACCTGCAATACTTCATTTTAACCATTGTGCCACCATGATGCATCTTAAGGGATAGAATGAGAGATTTATTGAGATGTTTTGTACTGTATTGGTATTAACTAAAAACTTTCATTTTGCACACAACTGGCAAGAAGCGAATCAAGATGAGTTTAAGATGAACCACCAAAATCCAAAAGCCACTGAGAACAATGGGAGACTATTGAATGAAATGAAGGGTTAAAGGGCAGCATAACACATATATGTCAAAGGTTATATATAAACAGTTGATAAGGCATTCTGTAAACAAACAGTTCCATTGCAAAAGACTAGATGTGTATACTTAAGTTACTTTGTTAAATGAATATTTGGGTTACAGTGCTTCTATTTATTAATCTATTTAGGATATGATCCTATGGTCTCTGGCCATTCACTTATTCTGGTGGCAGCCAGACAGTGTTTCCTCCTCTTCTACAGAATAAGGAAGCACTGATTCTACACTGAGACTATTTGGCAACAATTGACGGTGCTGGTCTTGTGTAACAAAGTCCCTTCTATTTGAAAAGATCTTAGCCAGAATCTGTGCAAATGTCAAAGCTGTATTACTAGGGCTAAGACAGCAGGTACATTTTCCATGTCAAAGGCTAACTTACATATTTAAAAAAAGTTTTCTCAGGGGAAAAAAGAAGGAAAAATGTTTAAATTTATTGCATCTACTAAGCCAGGATGTAATCAAAGCTTGTGTTAGGGAAATTCCAGAATTCATAGGGGCATTTGAAACTATATGGGCATGCCTTGAAAAAACTCATTCTATAGGGTCATTCTTCAGACAATTATCAAATATTAATCCTTTTTTACATGCACAACATGAGCTATCTGAATTAAAGTAAATCACACAAAACAATGTAGTTATTTCTGCTTAATAGGAGCTGGATCCTGGACATTTAGACTCATACAACATTTTTAAATAACCCAGTTAGACATTATGAATATGTCTAAATGTTGGGTTTATAAATGTGTCTAAATGTGCAGATAAATTTATTTTATCTATTTATTTGGTTTGTCAATCACTTACAAGATAATAGGTATAAGTATAAACATGAGTAAGAATACAGGAAATAGATATGAATAAATGGGGACAATATGACAGGAATGGTAGGCACGATGGTGCACTTATGCACGCCCCTTGCATCTTAGATCCAAGGATTTATTTACACATATTCACTTATTTTATGCATGTAAGGTGATGTGTGCAGCAAAAAGGTGTAATTTAAGAGATTTGTTTTGTTCCCAAAGCTTGCCTAATAAAATTACAATTTATACATAAGCAAACCTTATCATAACTGGAATGTTACAAAAAATCAGGCATCACAGCTTTCCAGTACCATAAACAGAGAGAAAATTGACAATAGGGAGGCAAAACAAAACCAGTCATTTCAACAAGGGAGTTCGTTAGAGAATCTCAGCTACAGGCAAAAAGAAAAAAATATCACTTTCATGCCATGTTTTATCATGAAATAGAAGAAGAGATCAAAGCATAGAAAGATAAGAGGGCGAGGGACAATTATCAGCTGGATTTGCCTTCTGTCTCACTGATGTTTACAGTCAGAAAAAAAACTTTCCACAGTAAGAAAACAAAATAACTTCTCTCTTTTCCCATTTTTATGTTACACATAATAGATCTTAGCACTTGTTCTAGACTTTAATAAATAAACCTTGTAACTGTGACAGACAAAAGTAAGATTAGACAGAAATCAAGCTTTGTTCTTCCTATATAACTATCCAGCAAGAGAGATGGAAGTACTTGAGGGAAGGAATAGAATTATATAGTAGCTGTAAAGCAATTCCATCACAGTGAATTGAAACTGCAACTTACACTGGAGGTGCACAGGAAAGGCTCAATTGAATAATTATTGGATTAATTTAGAAAGAAGGAAATCCTCAATTCACAATACAATCACAAATGAAACTTCTTGTGGGCGGCATCTCAAAATGCCCTGTTGATTTTGGAAAATTGTAGTGCCAGGTAAGCTATGCTCACCTTTTTGGAATAGGATCTTTTCCAACTGCTGATCTACAGCATTACCTGCAGGAAAAACACTATTAGTCCTACTATACTACTGCCTCCAATGTTGATCCCTATTCAGTTTCTATTGTATTTGTTCCCAGTCATGCCAGTATTAAGAGCCTCCGTGACGCAGTGGTTAGAACGCAGTACTGCAAACTACTTCTGCTGACAGCCAGCTGCCTGCAATTTGGCAGGTCAAATCCCACCAGGCTCAAGGTTGACTCAGACTTCCATCCTTCTGAGGTGGGTAAAATGAGGACCCAGATTGTTGGGGAAAATATGCTGACTCTGTAAACTGCTTAGACAGGGCTGTAAAGCACTATAAAGCAGTATATAAGTCTAAGCGCTATTGCTATAATGCTGTCCCGATTTTTCATATGCAGCACATGATAAGCACGGTGCTTGGCTGACTCTTCTAGCTTTGTAGTTTACTCCTTTCTCCAAATCACCAGTCAGTAGGAAATACCCCTGCCAATCATCAGAAAAGGAGAGGGCCCAGTTGCAGGATTCTACCATCTGTAGCAGCAATTTTGATTGTACATCTTGAT